CCTCCCTCCCTCTCTCTCTCTCTCTCTCTCTCTCTCTCTCTCTCTCTCTTTCTTGTAACTGCATTAAAGGGATAGTTCACCCCAAAATGAAAATGTCTTAAATTACTCACCCTCTTGTCATTCCAAGCCCGTAAGATTGTTCATCCTAGGAACACAAAATTTAGATATTTTTGATGAAATCTGAGAGCTCTCTGACTCTGCATAGACAGCAACACAACCTCTCTCTCTCTCTCTCTCTCTCTCTCTCTCTCTCTCTTTCTTGTAACTGCATTAAAGGGATAGTTCACCCCAAAATGAAAATGTCTTAAATTACTCACCCTCTTGTCATTCCAAGCCCGTAAGATTGTTCATCCTAGGAACACAAAATTTAGATATTTTTGATGAAATCTGAGAGCTCTCTGACTCTGCATAGACAGCAACACAACTGAAATGTTCCCAGACCCAGAAACTTAGTAAGGACAAAAACTGTAAAACAGTTGGTAAAACAGTCCGTCTTCCACCATTTTGGAGAGTACCACGACGCATGCGCCTGCTTTCCCCAGAACGTAATAAATGCTTATTACGTTGATTATGTTTTGGGGAAAGTGTGTACATGCATTGCGGTACTCTCCAAAATGGTGGAAGACGGTAACGTGGAGAAGAATTGTAGAATAAATTATGTTATTTTTGTTTTCTTTGTGCACAAAAAGTATTCTTGTAGCTTCCCAAAATTGAAGTTGTGCCACTGATGTCACATGGACTGTTTTTTACTAATGTCCTTACTACGTTTCTGGGTCTGGGAACATTGCAGTTGCATTGCTGTCTATGGACCCTAGTGAAAAAAAGTATACTTTATTGTATTTGTAATATATTACCTGTTTTAATAGTACATTGCAAATATACTAACAAAAAATGTACTATCTTTAAATATATAAAAAGTATATTAGCAGTATGCTTTTGTCTATTTTCACAATACAACTTTTAACACACTTTAAAACAATTGTAATTTAGTATATTTTCTAAAAAATATATTTTACAAAAATGTACTTGAATTGAAAGTTCTGTTTATTTTTTATAAGTATATTTATTTGCACTTTACTTAAACATATTTTATGAATATTCTTTAACTCTGTGCTGAAAATGATAATTGTAACAATGCATTAAAAGCATACTTTCAAAGTACATTATTAAATAACCTGAAGTTGTAGTATGGGGTGCTGTGTGTACATTAATGAGGAAAAAAAATTTACTTAAATGATTTTAGCAAATGGCTGCAATATAACAAAGAGTGAAAAATTTAAGGGGGTCTGAATATTTTCCGTACCCACTGTACATTGTTTTCAGAAAGTAATAACACAAATAAATAAACAAATTCATTATAAAGTGTACAGTCAAGTAAACACTTTCTATATTGCATGGCCAAAAACTGAAGTTCACTCACTCTGCATTAATATTATATCATTGCATTATTATAACATATCATTATAAATTGTATGGAAAAATAAAGCTGAAAAACAACAATTGGCATTGATATCTGTATAAAGCTGCAGAAGTAGTTCCCCAGAAATCAGTTTTTAGTCTCTTTCAATATTGTTTGGAAGTTGAATGACATACATTTTGTCTTTAGACCTAATAATTACACATTTGCACTTGAGTGATTGAGGATGGACAGCAAATACATTATGAGACACTATATAAATGTTGAGGATAAATTTAGCTGAACATTTCTAAAAAAAATGTTCCTCCACGCAAGCTCTTTAGCTAAAACAATCTGTTTGTGGTGGATGCAGAAGATGCCCCATCCTCACACTCATAATTTCATAGAATGCTCCATCACTTAACTGTACAACAGAATTGATCCTCTTTTAAAGAGTCGTGTTATTACAGGAATGATAAAGAACACTGCTAACTGAGAATTTTTTTTTAATGCTGTTCACTTTATTTAAACAATTCCTTCTGATTTAACACCATTATATCAGGTTTCCCGTTCAAACATGACTGCATCATGTTGAACAGACTTTAGAAAAAGGAGCCTGAGCAGGTATAGAAGGCAGCAGTCCCATCATTGCTGCTGAGGAGGAAGAGGAAATGTCACGAGGGAACCCACTGGATGTTTTGATTGTCTTTGAAGACGGAGAGGTGATGTCAACCAAGTCAAGGATCAGTGCACTGCTGCTGTTTTTGCACTTTATGCCCTCATTTAGAGTACACTAACTTCTCAAAGCAGCTTCATAGGAAATGCATGTGTCTACATTACAATTTAGCCTGACCTGTACTATAAATACTATTCTTTTCAACTTGAATAGTGTTGTATCATGTGATTTAAAATGATGCTATATGGGTGTACTCACTTCTGTTGTATACTGTATGTTTGACTAATACACTGGAAGCAATATTGACGTGACATACTGATACAATACCTCACCGCTAGTCATGATGTTCATTCTATTAAGTAGTACGGGTTTAATACAGGAGATTTACAGTCTGATGTAGTAAAAAGAAAAAGTTGTATGAACATGCCCTCTGACCTTACCTCTTTTACTTTCTTAACAAATGCTGTTCTTGTGGAGTTTCCACACAAGTACATCTGATGTGTGAGCGGCCATCAGGTGCAAGTTTAATAAAGAGCAATTCTTTGTAGAATTGCAATATTTTTTGGACATGTATAATTTAAAATAGTTTTTTATTGTGTTATTGTTTTTGTTTTGTTTTATTGTATTTATTTTACGTTCGGAATAAAGTAAAAAATCAAAATCAAATTCAGCAAAAAAGTGAAGTTTGTGTGTTGCTACTGTTGCTAAATGTTTTTATTTTTTGGTGTTTGTTTCTTTCAGCGTTCTTTTTATTTAAAAACATGGTTGGTGCATTTTTTGTTTTGCAATGCTAAAACCATTTGAGGTTTAAATAAACACTGTTTGAATTGTTAATAATGTGTCTGTCATTGAAGTTATGTATTTATTGTAATGAAAAAAATTCATTAAAAAGTGGATTCAGCATTGGGGGAAAATTTGCATATTTTTACTCAAAAATAATACATTTATAGTATATTGCTTGTGTGTTTCAAAGACACTCATAATTAATTTGTAATGTACTCATAATACAAAAAAAGTACACTTTAATATCACTAACCAAGCATGTAAATAGGCATATACTTAAAGTGTACTAAGTGTACTTGAAGTTGTTCCAATTTAGCACATAAAAGTACACTAAATACACTTAAAGTTATGCTTTACTACAATTGAATTACAATTAAAATATACTTAGTACAAAATTAGTTGTTCCGAGTTAACTAATCATTAACACACTTAAAGTATACTGACAATTAGTCTGGCTGCAAGTATACTTAGCATATTTTTTTTCACTAGGGGAGGGTCAGAGAGCTGTAAGATTTCATCAAAAATATCTTAATTTGTGTTCTGAAGATGATTGAAGGTCTTATGGGTTTGGAACGACATGAGGGTGAGTAATTAATGACAGAATTTTCATTTTTGGGTGAAGTAACCCTTTAATAACTGCATAACTGCATTACTATCTATGGCTCAAGTCTTCATTGCTAAGTCTAAAATGACATTTTGGAATTAACAACGGAGGCATTGGATGAGATGCATAAGAAATTAATCCTACACTCAAGAGCATTTTAAAGACAAAAATCTGAGGAATGTCTTGAAACACAGTCAGTGTGTGTCCTGTAAAGATCTATGAGACTGGCCTAATGAATGAGCAGAATTGTCAGCACTTATACTTGTTGAAAAGAAAGGAGTGGTTAGAGAGGTCAAAGGTCAGCCTGTCTAACATAGTTAACCTCGGACAGCATTTCAGCAGCCTGAGTCTGTTCTTGACAAGTCTCTCTAATTTTCTGAGGTAAGAATCACTTCATAGATAATCACAGGTGTCAAGCAGCTTCACTGTAATGTGCTTCATACAGGCTGTCGGTTAAAATATCTACGAGTATATCATTCCATTAGCAAATAGCCTCTTTCACAGCACGCCTTATCAAGATAACCAATTAACATAGAGACACCCTGTTTGTTATAATGTTAAACTTTTTTCACCCTTGTCTCTGTCTTTCATCTGCTCCTCTTGTCCAAGTTGTATTCCCTTAAGATCTCAAGTAACACTCATTCTGTCTCTCTCTCTCCCTGTATCGCTCTTTTCTCTCCTCACCCACCCTCCTCTATCTTTCTCAAGGATGTGGACGACATGCTTGCCAAGGGAGGAGGGAATAAAAGGAATGAAAGATGAGTAAAGTGTGGGAGAAAGAAAAGTCAGGGTGACCGACATATGACGAACCACCATGCCTGAACCGAAGAAGCCAGGTAAGCCTCTTTAAGTTCATTTAAACATCGATATTATATTTAACACTACGGTATATTTTTATCGCCACTATTTGTCATTTTATGTGTCGTGTTAATGTAAATGATGCTCTTTTACTTGGACTGGCAGAATGCTTAAGTGTCTGGCCCATCCATAAAGACATCCATTTGTTGATAATTTCATTCATCAAGCTGAATTACTTAAATCTCGATCACTAGTTCACACTTTTTGTTAGCTAACTACCTGCAAAGGTTGAGAAACGTTACTTTAGTTGCTTAACGCATAAATCATGGGTCTGAATGTATAATTTGTTGTAAGGAGATGTTTAGATGGTCTCGGGTGTGACAGGCACTGAAAGATGAATTTTATAGGTTGGGTTGGCAGCAGCAGGAGTGAGAGGTCAATTTTCAGTTTGGGGTTTGGCAGTATGGGCGACCTGACAGAGAAGATACCCAGTTTGAATTATGATTGTGATGATTACCTTAAGGCTGGGATACAGTACACGACTTTTAAAATCTGAAGAGGTTTTAAAATACTATTTGTTGACTTTGTATATGTTACAGAGGAAAACTGGGCATAATACACTAAAACTACTGAGGATAACACATTACCAGACTTTAAGGTGATTCTGAACACAAACTCACACAGAAACATGTGCCTTGTTGCTAGGAGATTTATGACAATATCATATCGAAATATCACACATGTTTGATATCCTCCATCTGGATGGAATCATCGTCTAAATCTGTGTCCATCATACATGATGCGATTTTCTGTGAAATTGGTCAAATGTGAGCTCCCAAAATCTGCAGACTAACTCTGCCTTTTGGCTTTAGACTGTAACTCTGGCAATGTTGTGTTTGTGTATATTCCAGCCTTTAATCATTATTACTAATTATTAACCAATGGACAATGCTCTTCTGTAATGAAACTCAATTGAAATGATCTGAGGTAGAATCACATTCCAAGAGGACTCATTATATGTGATACATACTCAAAGGATATCACATAAAGCTGCTTGAATATGTTGTTTCGCCTGCAGAAAGTCCTTCATTCAAACACTCAATTCTTGATTGACCCTGCAGGTGACATTCTGATCATTATGAAAATGAATCTATCGATTGAAGTAGTGCACAATTAAAAATCAATAGCATATCAAGTATGGTCCTCAAAGTAGTAATGCTTATATTTGGAGGGAGTTAGTTCTGAACATACAGTATGATTTCATTTGCTGGCACTGATACAGAGGTAAAAGCTTTTCCTACCACACCTTTTTATGGAGCTTTTAAGGAGAGTGAGTTGCAGGCATTGAAGTGTAACCAGCAGATAGAATCATTAGCATCAGATATCAGAAGTTAGTGTCAAAGGATACCCATATTCAGCCATGTAATGATGCTGTGAACTTGTGTATCTGACTGAGGCTCTAAAATATGGCCTTCTTCATTTTCATTGTGCAGTACATGTCTTGAGGCAGAAAGAAATGACAGATTTGACAGACACTGGAAAATCTTCAGGCAAAATTGAGGTTGTGTTTCAAATCTAATCTAAGTCATCCTCATAGAGAGGTCATTACTCCAGCAACAGCAGGATAATAAGCAAAATCGCTGCTATGCAGTAATACTCTCAAAATGCATTCAATGTACACTGTGGCTCTAAGCTGCTTAACGGTGGATGCTGTTAAGGAAAACAGATCAGAATGTTTGTAATTACTGTAAATGGAACTGCAAATTCCTGATATTTAGAAGTAGAAAGATGGAATAATTTATAACCATTCTCAGGAAATCGAACTATTTATGCTAAAAATATAAAGAACAATTAAAAATTAAATATTATTTTAATTAATATAATTTTATTTTTAATTATTTGTTAAAATTATTAAAAACTAATTTATAAAATGCAGATACAAAGTCTGTATGAGCATTTTAAAAAAGAAAACTACATAGTAAAAACATATTATAATTTCCATAGCAGGGCATTTATTATTATTATTTTATATTTATATAACCAATTAAAATGTAAAGAGAGTAATGCAGACATGCATATTGGCTACTATTTTTACAAAAAAATTTTTTTTAAATAAAAATAATTTTCAGCCTTTGCTTTACACATAAAACTGTTCTATAATGTAAAAAGTTCAGTATTCTGTTAAGTACAGCAGTTGGTTGTCATGGGCATGTATTTAGCAAGCAAATGTCTCCTGAGCATGACCCTTTTAAAAAACACACAAGGTCAGTTCAGTGTCTTTGGTCTTATGTCGCCATCCCGTCTTGAGATCTGCCTCGTCTCTGTTATGATTCAGTTTTTCCTTCTATATCAGCCCCAAGACTCCGTGTTAATCCCAGTCAGAGTGTCAAATAACTGGATAATTTCACTGGAGCATAACCTGTCCCGTCTTCTCTTGCCTATCCTTCTGTCCCTCTTTCATTTTCTCATTCATCCTTCCTCCACACTTCAGACCACACACGAGGCCCCTCTTTTAGTTTATTGCTTTTTAAAGATCACATTTACCACCCTCCACACAAAGTCCCCCAGTCACACACAGGCCACTTTGCTCAGAGCGGGGAACTGTCGAGATAAAGTCTGTCTGGATCTCCTAAAGCCATAGTGACTGGCAAGGAGCACGATTCCTTAATAAACAGCTTCCAGAATAGCCCCACGGCCTTGAGCAGCTTTTAGGAGGGTATGCGATTTTACAAATGGGCATGTTGACAGTGGAGACGTGTTCAGAGTTGTGTGTCTCTGCATATTGCTCCATGATTATGGATACTCTGTAATGATAGTGCTGTAATAGTGGGTCAAGGCTGTGCACTGTAAATTGTGCATTTGAATTAATATTGGATTGGGGCTGAAATAAAGCCCATGTGATATGTCACAGTACAGTTTTTCTGAATAGCTAAAACACTAAACCCCAATCTCTGAACCACATTCTCACTAGCTTAAACCAATTTGCCGAATAAAGCACTCTTTCTGCTAAACCTTAAACACGTTCAGGCAGTTAGACTCTTTTTGCAAAACTCTAAACACATTATCTTTCACTTAAACACTTATCACACTGTGATGCATTTGTGCTGCAAAATGCTAAACACAAGCGGCAAAAGTTAAACACAACTAAAGCACAGTTGTCATCGTTTACACACAACGATTCAAAATTGTTCACACTTGTTTCTAATGATGTGATCAAACCAACTGTACAAAATATGAGCCAGCTCAGAGTGCACAAGTGGCACAGGTGACTGAATGATGATACGAACAATAGATGGAAACAATCTGAGAAGGAGAGGAGGAAGAGAACATGTAAGAAGTGGAGGATGAGGAGAGAAAGAGTCAGGTTTAGAGAGTGTTATCAAGGCTGGATCGGTCACACCAGAGGGTTTTTTCTATTTGTTTAGCAAAAAAGACTACATTACATGTGATGTGGACAAAGTCCTCAGGCTGGACTCAAACACAAAGACATGATGCTGAGACAGAATGAATCTCTTATTGACCCTGATTTTACAATTGCACAACTTACAGTATTTGAGTGTACTGTAACATGCTATTTATTTAGTGTTTTATTTGAGCTTTTTGGCCTTTGCAGTTGAACTGCAGTATCTTTGCAGTATCCAAGTGCTGAATATATACAAACATTCAGTGCTATTCAATATTCAGCACAATACTATTCTTGCAGTACATACAGTAGGCCTATACAATATATTCACCTTACTCAGTTGCAATATACTATACATTTTTACAGAATTGCTAAATTGTTTACTCAATACAATATACTTTTTTCCTGTAATATTCTGGATGCTGTGCTCTCCATTTTTCTCTGTAGTGTCTAATGAATGCTCTGTAGTGTTTATTTTATTGACTCGTGTGTGTGTGTGTGTGTGTGATCTGAGAGCACCATTTGATTTTGAGTGCAAGTGAAATGGTTTTGCAGTGATCGTTTGATTTTGACGGAAGAGTCAGAGGTTTCGTGAATTTGGTTTGAGTATTTGGATTTGTGTTTAAGGTTTTGCGAAAATTAGTGATGGTTTCAAGAAAAACTGTAATATAAATTACTTCACAAAGAGTCTAATATAATATCCAAGCTTTACCATAATAGTCAAATGTCTGGCCTGTGATAGTTTGAGATAAGTGAAGGATTCCTTTGGACTTCTAAAACGTCCTAAAATGATCAACAAAGCATCTTCTGTGACAAAATTGAGTCTCTTTGTCCATAAGCCTGTGTTGCCCTGCCAGGCTGAAATAATGTTGTTTCTGTCCTGGCAGGACAACAAGAGTTTGGTTCCCTGTAACCCTGCTAATGAAACACCCGGAGTATTGAGTATTAGGGAAGTTTAAGCCTCTTATTTGCCATCTGAAATGTCATTATTATGGTGCTCCCTTTTCCCAAATCTCCCTATTTTCACCACAACACAGCACAGAATTACACAGACACTCTCTGTGAACTCTGTGATCCAAAATGGACATATTCTTGCTTTATCCTATTTTTTGACCCATACACACACACAAATATTTAGTTATACATATACAAGTGGTTCTCAACCAGGGGGCCGGTACTAGAGGGCCTCAGCACACCTCGAAGGGGGCTGCAAGATGCGTTAAAATTATTTTAAATAATTTATATAAATACATTTATATAAATACATTTATATACATTTTGTCAAGCTATTTAATATTTTATCAGGAAGAAATTGCAAAAAAAATAAAACAAAATAAAAATTATAGTCAGAATGTACAGGCTACAGGTGCATCTCAGTAAATTAGAATGTTGTGGAAAAGTTCATTTATTTCAGTAAATAAACTCAAATTGTGAAACTCGTGTATCAAATAAATTCAGTGCACACAGACTGAAGTAGTTTAAGTCTTTGGTTCTTTTAATTGTGATGATTTTGGCTCACATTTAACAAAAACCCACCAATTCACTATCTCAACAAATTAGAATACTTCATAAGACCAATAAAAAAAAACATTTTTAGTGAATAACAAAAACCCACCAATTCACTATCTCAACAAA